TAAGTTCTACATATTTATGCAGGTAATCTTGCAGAAGATGTCATGAGTTCAAGAGAGTGGGGAATATGGGAGGAGCTGAAGCAGGGAGCTGGGGGTGTATCATCTATAAAATTCTCAAAAAGTTTAAAAACATGTAGGAAATTCAGGAGGAAGACTAGAGCTAGAAGCATAGGTTTGAAGGTCAGTAGTAGCCACAATGATAGCTGAGGCTTCACTAAATAACAATTGAGCGAAGGGAGTATGGAGGATGAAAACTGGAACCCTGAGGAACACTAACACGCCAGGGGTACAGAGAGGGGAGTTTCGTGGGGCTGTAGAGGGAACAGGAGAAATGAAGACTATGACACAGCCAACAGTGAAGAGTTAAGTAAAATGCTTGCTGCTTAGTGGACTAACATGGTATATGTGATTAGCCAATTGTGACTCATCAAAGATTAAAAATTAAAGACCTTGGAGGTGAGTGCAGTATGGCTACTGTGGGCTGGTAAAGAGAAAGCTGTTTCAGGGAAAGCCAGAAAGTTTGTAGCCCAGCTTTGATAAAAGGCAACTTCCTGTTCACTTAAGAAACTCACCTTTCGTGCTTGCTTCGGCAGCACATATACTAAAATTGGAACAATACAGAGAAGAAGAAAAAAAAAAAAACTCACCTTTCTAAAAGAAATGAAATAGTATCACAAAGGTTAAAGAATACATGGAGATCAATACACAGAAAAAGGTTTTTTGTTTGTTTGTTTTTGTTTTTTGAGGTAGGGTTTCTCTTGTGGCTTTGGAGGCTGTCCTAGAACTCACTCAGTAGATTCAGGGGCTGGCCTCAAACTCAAGATCCGCCTGCCTCTGCCTCCTGAGTGCTGGGATTAAAGGTGTGCACCACCATGGCCAGGCTAGCAGAGGCACTTTTAAAGCAGCCTTTGTCTTCTGCAGACATAGAGGCTGTAAAGGCTATATGCCTTTAAAGCCCAGGCTTACCCACAGCTACAGCCTGGGGAGCTTTCTCGTGAGACTCCAGCTGGAACAGAAGAACATGTTCCCAAAAGGGGGCAGTTTCTTTTAGGAAGAACACTGCATCTGATTGGTGGCGAAAACCAAAATGAAGCAGAAAACAGCATTCAAGATGAAGCATATGCTACTTCAAAATCATCTAAGTCATGCAGGAGCTTTGGGGGACGGGTGCACTTTGTACTGTGTCATTGCTTCCTCAGTGACAATGTCTCCATGAGAATCCACTGAGAAGCCTCAGGTCAGACTACTGCAGGTCAGAAATTTGCTTTTTACTAAAGAACAAAAGTGTTTAAGGCTAAAAATGGAGTGTTTATTAAAGATGTTATTAAATAAAACATTATAACTGGCAATACATAGATACAAATATACCTCCAACTCAATGTTGAAATTTAATTTGCCATTTTAACAGTATTAAAAGGTAGGACCTTTCAAGAAGTGATCAGGTCACAGGGGCTCAACAAGAATAGATTAAGGCCATTATGCTAGGAGTGGGTTGATTATGACTAACAGGGGTGGAGATTTTTGTTTTCAAACTGTCTCTCATGGTGACTCCATGTGATGCTTTCCTTGGTGTTATGATGTAGCCAAAAGGTCTGTCACCAAATACAACCCCTTGGTCTTGGACTTCCCAGCTTCCAGAACTATGAGTCAAATAAACATACTGCTTCTAATCTACCCAGTCTGTGGTATTTTGTTATACCTTCAGAAAACACACCAAGACAACCAGTGATGCCAAAAAATAACAATGAATATCTGTGTGGACTGCATGGTGACCGCTGCTGCTTGCCAAAGTTCAGCATTTCACCACTGCAGACCACAATTCCCCAACACCTTTTTACTTTCATTCTCAATGCCTTTCCCTTTGGGAAATTTTGTATGGGCTTTGGTATGTATAATGGTAACTTCACTAAACAAAATAATTCTTTGGAGAAAAGTTCCTGTCACTGTGGAACCAGGAATTCCAATGTATACTCCTAATTACACCAAGAACAGGAATATTAGAGATTTAAAAGAATTATTTATTACGTATACTGTTCTGCTTGTATGTATGCTGATAGGCCAGAAGAAGGCACCAGATCTCATTACAGATGATTGTGAGTCACCATGTGGTTGCTGGGAATTGAACTCAGGACCTCTAGAAGAGCAGCCAGTGCTCTCAACTGCTGAGCCATCTCTCCAACCCTGAATACTCTCAAACCCTGAATACCCAGGATGAAATGCCTACAATTCAGATCCATAGCCTGAGGCTATTAAGGTCAAGAGTTCAGTTAATAAATAGAGAACTCAATGGTTCGGTGTAATGGGAAGAGTAAGATATCAGGACCTTTTCTTTCCAGCATTATGAGGCCCATATAGTAAAACTAAGAAACTGAGTCAGGTGTCAGTAGTGCATGCCTTTAATCCCAGCATTCAGGAAGCAGAGGCAGGCAGATCTCTGTGGGTTTGAGGGCACCTGGTCTACAGAGCAAGTTTTAGGACAGCCACAGCTACACAGAGAAACACAGTCTGCCCCCCCCCCCCAAAAGGAGTACATATTGTTTCGGGGCCAGCCTTGTCTACATAGAGAGTTCCAGGACAGCCAGAGCTACATAATGAGATACTGTCTAGGAAAAAAAAAAAAAAAAAAAAAAAAAAAATCAAAACCAAACAAAAAAAAGTATGCCTTGTAACTACAATAGAAAAAACATTTCAGGGGCTGAGTGAAGAAGGGTCCATGGAAGAGACCAAGTGACCAGATAAGTAGAAAAATTCAGACAAGGCAGGAAAATCAGGAGAGGCTTCAAGGAAGTTATAGCATTGAAGGTTTGCTCATGGAAGACTTTTTGAGAAAGTGAGGCTTGTGGGCACAGGAGAGGGTTTATTTGGTATGCCTTATCCCACTTGTAACTAGATAGTGAACTTTTGAAGGGGGGGGCTATTGCTCTTAATAGTCCCTGGGCTGTTACAGAGTTAAAACAACTAGGATTCAGTATTGTTACTATTCAGGTATCTGTACTGGCTTGTCCTTGGGGGTTCTGACAGGATAGGTCCTCAGCTGCAGCCACTAAGAGCACCGTGTGTACATATTCAATACATTCCCTTTTAAAAGGGCCCTGCCCACCTCCCATCTTTTTCTGCCTGTCCCTTTCTCTCTCTCTGCTCCCCTGCCTTCTCTTCTGCTGCTCCTGTCCCCAGAGACCGGTCTCCCCCCATTCTCCTAATATAAAAACCCCTCCACATCAGGTCTGTCACATGTCATCTTTTTCTCTTGTGCTGCTTTTTAAAAAAAATTACAGCAAATATGTTTATTGGTCTCATCTGCAGAAACATGAAAAGCTAGTGTACATGACAACATGAGTTGCCAAGCTAGGTTGGGGAGGAGTAGATTGATTAAAAGTGAATGAGAAAAGAATGAAAATATATTAGCTACTTGCTAGTTGTTGAACAAAATACTTGACAACCTACTAAAAAAAAAAAAAAGGGTTTATTTTGGCTCACAGTTTGGGGTACAGTCCATCATGGTGGGCAGTCACAGTGGCATTAGCTTGGGGCAGCTGGTCACACTGCATCAGGGTTCAGGAAGCAGAGTGGTGAAGCCTTGTGCTCAGCTGCTTTCTCCTTTTTCTTTTAACAGCCCAGCGCTCTATCCCGTAGAATTATGCCACCAACTGGCAGGCCACCTCAACTAGCCTAATCTAGATAATCTCTCACAGGCATACAGAGGCTTGTCTCCTAGGTGAGTCTAAATCCCATCAGGCTGACAAGATTAACCACATAGAGAGATAGTAAAGACCCTGAAATTAGGGGATGGAGAAATGGCTCAGAGTTAAGAGCACTGACTGCTCTTGCAGAGGACCCAGGTTCAATTCCCAGCACCCATATCAGGCAGCTCACAACTGTCTGTAACTCTGTGAGGCACTGCACACACATGATGAACAGACATACATGCAGGCAGAACACCCATAAACAGAAATTTAAAAATAATTAAGTAAAGAGACTGAAATCAGGCAGCAGCTGAACTTACTGTATGTATCAGCAGTTTAGGCAACTCACAAGGAAAGGATGATGTTTTCTTTTTTATTGTTAGTCCTTTTTTGGGAGAATAGCACATCAAAGTTAACCGAGTACTTAGGACTAGTTCCTCACTTACTCTAAAGGACAGCCTTGAGGCAAGTACAATTGTACAATTAAGAAATGGTAGTTAGGCCTGGAGAGATGGCTTAGCCATTAAAGGCTAGGCTCACAACCAAAAATATAAGAAATGGTAGTTCATAAAAGATACACCCCAACCCGAGCTGAGACTGCTCTCTGCCCCTTTCCTTTCTAAGTCAATGCTAACTGGTGAAGCTTGGTTTCTGTAGTGGAGGATTTTAGGCTAAAGTGATGTTACAATTATATCCTTTTGAAAAATATTTATTGAGTATAAATAAATGTCCTATACATTAAATATCAAGAAATATCCATTATTCATTACAAGTCAGGCTATAATACCGAGGGAACCTGGAATAACAACTCATGATACAGCAGTGACAGTTCATTCCAACATTAGACAGAGTAATGATTTGCTCACATGACACAGCAAAACCTATCAAAGAAACACCACTTAAACCCACCTATTACACCACAATAGACAATGGTTTTGAAGCATACTATCAACAGTCTCAATCTCATTATTAATTTCTATCTTATCACACTGAGACTGCACTTCTACTACATAAAATTTAGAGTCTCATCTGCTTGGTTTTATTTCAAATTATTGTTAACGAGTGAAAACAAGTCATACAAAGTCAAAGAGACTTTTCAGTTAGTCTTTCTGAAGAGGGAAAAAAAAAAAGTTTAGTAATAGAAAGCTTTCCCCAAGCAATGAATTTCTTAACGGATAAAATTAAAATACAGGAGCAGTGTAATTAGCTTTTCCTTCAAAGAAAGGAAAGAAACCTAAATCTGTTTGGCAAATTGGGGAACTATTTTCTAGTCCCAGAATACATATCTTTTTTTTTTTTTTTTTTTTTTTTTTTTTTTTTACACTGTGTATGCTGGAATGCTGAAAGTCTAGGAAGCTGGAATCTGTGGGAGTCCAAATTCATCCACCAGCACTCCATCCTGTGAGAAGAAAGTGAGGGTCAGTGCTGCTCTTAGTAACCAGAAGTCATGTCCAAGTGTTTAACCAATCAGAATGAAAATCCCACTCAGAAGGTGAAAAGGAGCGTTTTCATGAAAGGCAAAGGGGCTTGATGAGTCAGGCAGAGAAGTAAAAGGGTTAATGGAGGCGGTTCTCTGCAGGGTGGAAACAGAGGGAGAGAACATAGAAGAGGGCCAAGGGGGAGAGTGAAGGAGCTCTTGCCTCTAAATACATTATTTGCACTCTCATCTTTCAATGGGTCAGTATCTTTACAGACTGGCGAATCCTTGAGGGGAGTATCTCAGGTGGACAGTAGCTCCTATGCCATGCATTGCTACTCATCAGCCCATGTCAGTTAAGGGTTTCCTCTTCACAGTGTCTACAAATGGGAAGAGCTGGAGACAAAGCACAGTGGAAGAATGTGCGCCCCCACTGTGTGAGGGCCTGTGTTCAAATACCACAGATGCTTCAGGGACTTGTTACCAGGAAACGGAAAAGGCAAGCTATACTAGTGCTCACAAAAATAGCTTCAGCATAATTACTAAATAGCAGATACTTAAATAATTATTTAAAGCAACTTGTGCACCTGGGACTTTGAAGAAGCCAGAGAGGCACTCTGAACTCCAGGAAGGGAGGCAGGGTACAAGGAGAAGCACATTCACAAGGACCTACAAAATTATCTGCCCCCATCTGTTGCCCCTCACATTTTACAGCCAGGGAAGGAATGTTCAGAGCTGTGCTGGCTAGTTGGTCAACTTGACATGATGAACCTCAATTAAGAAAAGAATCCCTCCATAAAATGGGGCTGTAGGCAAGTATGTTGGGCATTTCTTATTAGTGATTGAGCTGGGAGGGGCCAGCCCATTATGGGCAGTGTCATCCCTGGGCTGGGGGTCCTGGGTGCCACAAGAAAGCAGGTTGAGCAAACCATGGGGTGCAAGCCAGTAAGCAGCACTGTGTGTCAGCTCTTCCCTTCAGGTTCCTACCCCGTTAAGAATTCTTGCCCTAACTTCCTTCAGTGAAGTCAAATAACACTTTCTTCCCCACCTTGCTTTTGGTCATGGTGTTTCATTATTGCAATAGTAACCTTAAGACAAGGGAGAATAAATTAATTTCTAATTTGCTCAGAATTACATAATGAATAGAGGCAGATTAGAACTGGACCCCACTCAAACATTCAGTCATCTGTACTGTGAGTACTCAGTATGTTTAGGGGAGATCAGATAAAACCAGGGCTATAAATATCCATGGCAAATAGCACATTACCCTAGAACATCACCTAAGAGGGAGTGAAATTTTACAAACAGTGAAGTACTCTGTTTACAATGACAATTATATGTTAAGATAGGGTTTTATCACGTAAAAGACCAAGATTGCTCTAAACAACAATCATTATCACATAAGATACTCCACATATGCAAAGAATAGAAAAACTCAAAATAGCTAAGTGATCTATCACAGTGTCAGAAATCCTGATTCTCTTCCTTTGTTGGACTAGGATCTTTCTAATATTAAGGTTTTCCTCCCACCCCAAAACACGGTCATCATATATCTCAGGTTGGCTTCCAACTCACTCTGTAGCCAATGGTGGCCTTGAACTTCTAATATTCCTTCTCTATCTCCCCAGTGCTGGGTTACAGGCCTGTGGCTGCATACCTGGGGATCATATCCAGGGCTTTGTACATGCTAGGTAAGCACTCTGTCAATTGAACTACATTCCTAGCCTTATTTATTAATAAAGTTTATACTTAATTTTACTTCATGGTTTAAATAACCCAATAATTAACTAGTGTGTCTGAAGTGGGACTCTTTCCCCCCCTCCTCAATATTTATTTATTTGATGTGTATGAGTTTTGCCCATATGTATATCTATGCACAATGTCTTGTGTCTGTAAAGGTCAGAAGAGGGCACTGGATGACCTGGAACTGAAGTTATAAATGGTTGTGAGTCACCACGAAGATGCTGGGAATTGAACCCAGCTGGGAAGGGCCAGCCCATTATGGGCTCTCTAATTTAAACAAAACAAAAACACAACAGCGGCCAGGAATATGACTCCGTATAATGTCCTTGCCTAACATGTGTGAGGCCCTAAGACAAATTCACAGAAACACACATACACACACCAATACTTCCACTAAGCAAGGCTCATGCCTTCATCAACAATGCATTCTAAGTAAGTGGTAACCCTGTAAATAGCACCTAATGCTAGTTTTATAGGGTGATTACATTTATTATATAAAATGACACTGTATAAAGACTGTTGGCCTAATGGCAGGGGCCTGACAGTTCAATGCCAGCCTGTACAAGCTAATGAGACCCTGTCTCAAAAGAAGATATAGCTCTAGTAGAAGAGTGTTTATTCAGCAGGTATAAGACCCCCAATTACAGGAAAACCAAACCAAACCAAATCACTGGTCAGCCGCAGTGCCTTTTTGTTTGTTTTTTCAAGACAGGGTTTCTCTGTGTAGCCCCGGCTCTTGTGGAAACTGCCAATAGCCTTTGGGGTACCAGCCCATTAAGGCATGATCTCAGGTGCTACCTATGAACTGATAAGGGAGAGAAGAGACATGCTCTGTTTTTGGGTGGTGGTGGGAGATCTGATTGCAGCTTCCTGCACCCCCAGGGCAGAAGACCTCATCTGCTCTCCTTGTGAGTGTTCCCAATAAATATTTGATATTCTTTTATTTGTGATTTCGTGGACTCCCTTATTCATGCCTACAGGCTGTCCTAGAACTCACTTTGTAGATCAGGCTGGCCTCAAATTCAGAAATCTGCTTGCTTCTACCTGAGTGCTGGTATTAAAGGAGTACATCACTACCACCTAGCTCCTCATTGACATTATTTATGCAGCTTATTAGTTACCGAATGTGGGAAAACCAGACCTTTAAACGTTATTAAAATAATGATCAGGGCTGTTAAACTTAAGACTATATTTTAGATTTCCAGATTGGTGAATATAAAGAATACCTTTAATATGTTGCTTGGAAATACAAAGTATATATTCATACATGCAGGCAAAACTCAGAAAATAAGTAAATCTTAAAAGAGAGTCCTACTCTGTGGACACAATAGTTATTGGTGGGATTGTTTAAAATATAGGCAGTAACCTAAACATACACCTTAAGGGAAAACAATACCTTGTTTTTTGTGTCAGTGGGAACACCTTCTGGAATTGCAGGTGCAGATGCTGCTTCGTCTAAGTAGGAACTATCTTCATCAGCCAGAAGCTCATCGCCCAGTGCATCCAACTCTGAAATTAAACAGGCTACATTATAGAAAAACGTGAAGAGAAGCCAGACATGGTGGTGCACACCTTTAATTACATTCTCTGGGCGGCAAAGGCAGGCAGATCTCAGTAAATTCGAGGCTAGTCTTGTCTAAGGTACCAGGACATCCAGAGCTGTTACACAGACAAACCATGACTTGAAAAACAACAACAACAACAAAAAACCAAAACAACAAATGTGAAGAGAAAACTGGCCTTTCGTCAAAAAGTTAGCTCAGTGATTTGTAATGAGCAACTACTATGCAAAGGGAAAGGAGGGGAAAAAATAAAGATCAAGAACTAGAAATGAACAAGGAGGGAAGGAAGGAGAAAGGCAAAGTGCTCCAGAGTGGCACAGAAAATCCAGCATGGGTTGGTTCGACCATGCTAGGAACTGACAACCATCTTGACAGGCCCCTCTTCTTCCACATCCCATAAATGGTCCATTTCACTCTGGATCTGCTAGCAGCCCTCATCACTTATGTGACTAGAGCAATGGGTTTTATTTTTGTCTCCAAGCCCACTCACTGACCTTTGCATTTTCTCATGGCAGTCCCCTCCTCACCCTACAGGTCTCCTGATTGTCCTCTACCATTATTAGGTTAGTCTCTGCTCTGTCTGTGCTTTCAATGGCATCTCACACTTCTTCCCAATCATGTGTGTGCTTACAATTAAGGATCCTAGCAGTGGTAGCACACACCTTTAATCCCAGCATTCATTAGGGAGGCAGAGGCAGGCGGATCTCTGTGAGTTCAAGGCCAGACTGGTCTACAGAGCGAGTTCCAGGACAGCCAAGGGTATACAGAGAAACCCTTTCTCAAAAACCAAAAAAACAAAACAAAAGAATCCAAGCAGGCAGTTTATATTTCTCTCACTGGCGGTGGGGTTTTATAAATGCAGGAACCAGGCTGGTGAAAGAGCTGAATGGATAAAGGAACCTGCTGTGTAGTCCAATGACCTGACTTTAATCCCTGGGACCCACATGGTAGAAAACCTGACTCCTACAGGTCATAAGCACAGCCAGGACACCTATGTGTACTCTCTCAATAAATAATGTAATAAAATTAAAAAAAAAAAAAAAAGATGCAGGACTCACATTTGTTTTCTTAATGCTGAATCTATACACAGACTGAGCACACTGAGCCTTTGCTCAGCCTCTCCTTAGCAGTTACTCCACTGCTGCCTCACAGGCTGACAGAAGACTGTGCCATAAGCCAACTCCCAGGGCATCCTGATAGGAACTGTTTATTTTTTGTTGTTTGTTTGAGGCAAGGGCTCTCTCCATAGCCCAGAGTGTCCTGGAACTCTGTCTCTCTTTTTTTGGTTTTGTGAGACAGGGTTTCTTTGTGTAACAGCTCTGGCTGTCCTGGAACTCACTCTGTAAACCAGGTTGTCTTCAAACTCACAGGGATCTTCTTGTAAATGCCTCTGTGGTGCTGGGATTAAGGTGTGTGCCACTATGTGGTCTGCATCCTGATAGAATTTTAACTAGCACTTGGCTAAAGGTCCAGGTAGCTGCTCCTTACAGACTGTGCAGTCATTTGAGCATTACACAGCACTCACCTGCCTCCAGGTCACAGACTGACTGTGCAGTCACTGAGCATCACACAGCACTCACCTGCCTCCAGGTCATCCTCATCTAACTCTGGAGTGCCGTAGCTTCGACTCAGTGCTTCCTGGATTTCATTTGCATCTTCCATCATATCTTCCAGCTGGTCTTGTAAATCCTATAGAAATACATATGACGGGTTTTCTTTCTTCTTTTAGCCTTTTAAATTGGTTGGTTTAATTCAAGGTGACATAGAATTCAGAATACAACAAAGGTGGGACAGCAGGCTCTGGTGGGACTTCAGACTCGGTTCCCTTTAATGGCTGGGTATAGCTGAATGACAGCTAGAGATAATGAGCCACTGTATGATTTTGTTTTCATTTCATTCTAGGTATAGGTGGCAAAGACGTCACAGCAGGGAAACCAGGTGTTTAAACAGGAAGGACTGGAGAAGGGTCACCATCATCTTAGATACAAGGAACAGCCCACTTTTTGCCAGATTTCTGAATTCCTCTTGGCCTTGGCTTCTCTCTCCTGAGTTTCTTCTGCCCTTCTTTTTGTTTCTGCCTGAAAGCCTTCCTTGCCCATCTCCTTGGCCTGGTTCTTGGCTGTTTTAGGGGCTTTTGTTTAACCTTCTCAGCTGACATGACACCTGTGGCCCCATTTCTAGACTCTTCTTTCTGCTAATCCCCATTTTTTTTTTTTTTTTTTTTTTTTTTAAGTTCAAGGAAGCAAGTTTTATTGAGAAGTAAACAATAGATCTCTGCAGCAGATCAGGTAATGCCCCCAAATGGGTTTCTGTGACAAGGTTTTTACTTAGACGTGAGAACTAAAATTTAATTTTTAACTTATATCTACTTATTCATATACATGTGTGTTTGTGTGTATATGCATGTATATTGGCACATGTATCATTAGTGCGCAAGTAGAAGTCAGGGCAACTTGTGGGAGTTGGTTCTCTCCTTTCATCATGTGGGTCTCAAGGTTGAACTCAGGCCATCTCACCTGCTGAGCCATCTCGCTGGCCCAAAATGAGAAATTTAAAAAATGCTGACTATATAATCAGTTCTCCATAACTAGAAACTGGCTTCAGTCAACCGAGCAGATGCTCCAAAGGACTCCTGAAGGTCTTTTTTATTTCTTTTTCTTTTTGAGACAGAATCTCATGTGGCCCAGTTTGACCTTAAATACACTTTGTAACTAAGGATGACCTTAAATTCCTCATTCTCCGGACCCTATCTACTTCCCCAGTTCTGTGGTTAGGTATATGCTACCCAGCCCAACTTCTGGCTTTCACTTTTCTTTTTTTCCTAGTACTTAGAAATGGATTTTATTTGATGATGGTGGTACTGGAGTGAACGGGACCTGTGTACCCTGAGCAAACACTCTAACACAAATCTTGTACTGCTTGGTGAGAATATCTAAGCCTTTCTGGGGCTGGAGACAGCTCAGTGGTTAACAGCACTAGTGGGTTGCTTTCCTAAATGACCAGCATTTGATTCCCAGTACACACATCATGGCTCATAACAGTTTGTAATTCCAGTACCAAGGGATCTGAAGTCCTCTTCTGGCCCCTGTGGGCAGATGGTAAACAGAGATACATGCAGGCAAACATTAGTGCACATAAAATAAAAATTTTTAAAAATCTTAAAAAAAAAAAAAAAATTAAGTTTTCCTTCACCCTCCCCAATACTGGGGGATGGAACCCAGAGTCTTGATCATGATTGGCAAGTGCTTTCTACTACTTAGCTCTACCCTCAGCCCTGTTTTCCTCATTTAAAAATGGGTTATTGGGCTACAGAGATGACTCACGGTTAAGACTACATACTGTTCTTCCAAGGACCTGAGGCTTGGTTCCCAGCACCCAAGTGGGGAGGCAATAACTCTTAACTCCAGGGATCATGATGTCTTCTTCTGGCCTCTAAGGACAACTGCACTTACTTGCATAAACCCCTCCTCAGACACATATGCATACACATAATTTAAGTCTTTATAAAAAGAAGGAAAGCTGGAGAAATGTTTCAGCAGTTAAGAGCACTTGCTACTCTTCCAGAGGACCTGGGTCCCCACTCCCACAACCCGCCTGACAGCTCACAACCATCTGTAACTCTAGTTCCAGATCTGATGCCTCTTCTGGCCTGCAAAGGTACCAGGCATGCACACAGGGAACATACAAACATGCAGACAAAACATTCATAACACAGTAAATAAAAGTAAATCTTTTTTTAAAAAAAAAAAATGGGATCCAGTAAGAACCATATTTTTATGGCCACTGTAAGATTTATTGCAATGATGTATGTAAAACACTTAGTACTTAGATAAGGCCAGCCTGGGCAACTAGTGACACTCCGTCTAAAAACTAAATAAATTTTAGGAAGTGGAAAAAAGAGGTAAAGTATGCACATGGCTCCATGTTTAATCTGCAATAACACCACCACCAAAAAAGGGGAAAAAAGGAGGCCAAATATCAGTATATCTTCATATGCAGAGGGGACAGAGGCCACTGTTTAGCAGGTATCCACTCCAGCACCAGAATTTCCTGTAGGAGGCACTTAGGTCCTTGTACTCTCAGATAGGCACTAGGGAAACCAGGAGTGTTAAACGTGCAGGGTTGTCTCTTCATAAGGAGAGCTGTATAACATGTTTTCAGCCCAGAAGGCTGGGGGCAGAGGTGGGTAATAGCCTGTTGACCTCTGCACTACCACAGGCCGGACCACAAGGCTCTCCTAGACTCCTATCTTGAGCTTGTTTATCTCAGTCAACACACAGAACTATCCTCCTTGACCCTTATCACGGGCTTGTTTACCTTGAGGTGGCTTCCTTAGTTAATCTAGAGAACCTATCTATATGGAAGATGCCACTTGTATTTTCACAAGTGTTTTGATGTAGTCGTCAAACTACAGGCCTGCAACCACTATAGAGTCTATGGACAGGGTTTCTATTTATACAGTCTAGGATAGACACAGAAAGAAAAAAGAAAAGTCACCACAAATAGATTAATCTACCTTTAAATTCAATACTGCATAAACAAAAGTAACATAAACAGAAGCACTAATCTAAAAAGCAAAGGTGCCCAATGTTCTGGGAAACAAAAAGACAAAAAGACTTAAGGGAGCTGGGGTAGGTAGGAGAGACACAGATGGCAGCTATACCTCCAGCTCCTGGGATCTGTTGCCCTCTTCTGGCCTCCATAGGAATTGCACCCATGTGCACAAAAACTACCCATCCACCCACACCCCTTAAAAAGTACAGCCAGCTGGTGATGGCCTCCTCCTTGGATCCCCCCAGCACTGGGGAGGCAGAGGTAGGAAGATCTCTGTGAGTTGAGACCAGTCTGGTCTTCAAGAGCTAGTCCCAGGACAGCCTCCAAAGCCACAGAGAAACAGTCTCAGAAAACCAAAATAAATAAATAAATAAATAAATAAATAAATAGAACAAAAATACGTTTTTGTTTTGAGACAGAGCCTCTCTATGTAGCCCCAGCTGTCCTGGAACTCCCTGTGTAGACCAGGCTGGCCTCAAACTCATAGAGATTCTTCTTACATATAGGAAGGGGTCTTTTTCCACTGGTAGGCCACTCCTCACTTCCACTACCTCTGCCTGCCATGCGGGATGCTCACCTGACAGCAGACTGAGCAGTCAGGCCCACAGGCCTTGCCTTCCTGACCAAATCCTAGACCCTAATGGAAATGCTAAATTCAAAAAGACAGCAATTTATTACCAAAATGTAAAGAAAACTACTAGAAATACTAGAAGAGGACTAAGTCAGCCAGAAACTGTATAAACCAATTACCTATATGTCCTCATTTAAGACCTGTTGTATGTGCTCTATTTTTAGCATTCAAGGCTAAAGCAAGAGGCCACAGGTTCAAAGTCAGCCTGGGCTTTGTCCCAAGATCTTTTGTGCATATGTGTATGCTTTCATGTGTGTGTGTACAATACTTGAAGACAGCTCACGTATTCCACCTGCATAATAACTAGGTATGATACTGGGATCTCTGTATTAGGAACGAGGAAAATGAGGCCTTTGACATCCTTCCCTTTCCTGAAGTCACTACATTAGCACACAACAGTACCAGGATTTCATCACTTTTCTGTGCATTTCTCAACACGCATTTATTCTCAACCTTGCAGTAACAAGTCATGTCTTGTAGCAGAGAGACAGCTCACCTCAATCTGGTCAATTTTTACTTGCTTGTACGCCCTCTTCATTTCCTTCACTCCCAATTTCATGGCATCAACCCTAAAAGGAGGTAGAAGAATACCATACTTGTTTTATTTTGAAGTGCTGAGGATTTGAACTCAGACCCTCACATATGCTAAGCCACCATTCTACATTAGAAGTCATGTTTGTGCTAGACAGGTGGCTCAGTGATGACCGAGCATTGGTTGCTCTTGCAGAGGACCTGGGTTTGATTCCCAGCAGCCACGCTCACAACCATCTGTAACTACAGATTCAGGGGATCTGAAGCTCCCTTCTGATTTCCTCTGATACTAGGCACACAAGGTACTCTGACAAACATGCAGGCAAAACATACAAACACATAAAGTTATATTTGCTAACCATCTTTTAAAAAACCATAGGAAAGCATATCAAATTTGAAAATTAAAATGGAGATCAGAGATGTGGTAGCATAGGTCTTTAATCCTAGCACTTGGGAAGCAGAAACAGGCAAATCTTTTGAGTTTGAGGCCAGCCCGATACAAAGAATGAGTTCAGGACAGCAAGGACTACACAAGAAACCCTATCTCAAAAAACAAAACAAACAACAAACAAATCAGGATGCTGTGGGCATACCGTGGTCTTGGTGTCCTTCAGTGACTGAATGGTGTAATTAGCCTGCTCCATGTTAAAGGACTGCTGGGCAAGGTTGTCTCGTTGCTGCTCATACCTTTTTGGAGTCAAGTGAGAATTAGAAATGTGAGACAGAAAGAAGGAAGGATGTAGCATTAACATTAAATAAGATTTTCTCCAAACAAAGAAACCAAACCAAACCATTTAAAAACTACCCACTCTTAGCTGAGCCGTGGTGGCTCATGCCTTTAATCCCAGCACTCGGGAGGCAGAGGCAGGTGAATCTCTGAGTTTGAGGCCAGCCTAGTCTGCAGAGTGAGTTCCAGGACAGCCAAGGCTACACAGAGAAACAGTCTCTAACAAAACAAAACACAAAAAAAATACCCACTCTTACAAAATCCCTCCAAATCATTTTCCCTTGCATGTATTTGAGTTTTAACTATTTCCACTTAAAAACATAGTGTATCTGCTTCTTTTTTCTATTTCTTGAAAAAGGTCTTGTAGTCTAGGCTAGCCTCAAACTTGTAGTGACCTTCTTGTTTCAGCTTCCCAAATGTTAGTAATGTAAATGTGTGCCACCACTCCTGGCCTATGCTGTATCTTATTATATCTTATTTATATTTTTCTAACTATTTCCCAAGAAGTGGAACTCTTGGGTTAAAAGCTAAAACTATTTTTTTAAAGGTTCTTCATACATATATTCATTTTTTAGGTAGACTCAAAAGTGTACTTAAGGACATTTTAGTAACCCAGTATTCATAATTAAGTTATATATCTGACTTAAAGTCAGATGTCTGATACTAGAAATACTGATACTTGAAATGTCTGATACTCTTTTAAAGTTTTCTATCAAATTATAATATTATGTTAAAAACTTTTATGTCACCACATTTTCACATAACAGTTGGAAACCATCTAACTAGCAGAAGAAAAATATGTAGTTCATGATCCAGGCAGTGGCAGATGAGTCTATTAAGTTAGGCACAGTGGCACATGGTTATAATCTCAGTACTTGGGAGGCTGAGTCAGGGGATTGGAACTGGAGGCCAATCTTGATATATAGCAAGACCCTGTCTCTAAAAACAGAAACAGGAAAGAAAAGGTATAGTTTTAAGTAGAAAAGAATAGCTTATATGAAAGATACATTATAATTTCAGTTTCCTAAGAATCTAGATAAATTTTCTTCTGTTTGCTTATTTTCCAAGTTTGTGCAATAAATTTATAGTTTTTAAAAAAAATATTTATTTTTCATTTTTGAAGCAGGGACTCATACAGCCCACAAGGGCCTAGAATTTACTAGCCAAGGGTAGCTTTGAACCCCTGCTATTCTTGACTTCATACACCAAGTACAAGGTTTATAGGTGTGTGCCACTATGCTTAGCTATTTATTGACTTAATTTGAAATTGGGTTGTATGTAGCCAAGGCTAGCCTTGATTTCTCTATGTAGCCAAGGTGTGTAGGCTCCTGGTCCTTCTTCCCCTACCTCCCAAGTGATAGGAATATAGGCCTAGGCCATTGAAGCCAAAATTGTTTTTCTTCTATAAGAAAAACATAATACTTTATAACCAATTGCTGATCCAGAGAGATGGCTCAGTGGTTAAGAGCACTGACTGCTCTTTCAGAGGACCTGGGGTTCAATTCCCAGCATCCACAAGACAGTTAACAACTGTCTGTAACTACCAGTCTGACACCCTCACACAGACATACATACCTGAAAAATACCAATGCAAGTAAAAATAAATAATTTTTAAAAATAAATAAAACCAATTGCCACTGAGAAAGCAATAGTTGTAATACATCTTGGTTGTTGTAGGTATTGTTAATTTTTCCAATGTGATTTAATAAAATAAAATAAAAAAAAAAAGGAAAGACAGCATCTGATATATTACAAAGTAATTTTAAAATTGGAACAAAGCAAGCTGGGCATTGGTGGTGCACTTGGAAGGCAGAGGCAGGTGGATCTTTGTGAGTTGGAGGCCAGCCTGGTCTACAGAGCTAGAAATACAGAGAAACCCTGTCTTGAAAAACAAAAAACAAAAAAACAAAACAAAACAAAAAAAAGAACAAAGCTGTCAACAATTTTCCTACAAGCTGATTATACCTAGCTTCTACAACTCCATGGATGATCTCACAGGCTCAGCAGTCCACAGGGGGTGAGCACCAGATAGTAACTGGGTTTTTGCACAACACTGGGACACAGAAACTGAAAACAAACTATTGTGGTGAGAGAGAACAAATACTCAGCACCCCTAACTTTATAAACAAAACCAAACAAGATCATACTAAACAATGGGAAAAAAACCAAACCATACAGATCTGGCCAGCCACAATAATAGTCACTAACACCACATGGCTACCTAAACTTAAGTTGGTAACATTAAGTAACAGAAGTTTATGGAAATTTGCAATAATATCAAGAGTACTTAGAAAATGATATGGAAACCCAGAAAGAATGAGGATGTTTTTGCTTTTGGCTTAAACTGTTCTTAGAAAGGAGATGACCCACATGACTTACATTCGCTTTTGCTTTAAAACCCTCAGGGCTTTCTGTTTGACCATGTTCTGAGGAGAAAAACAGACTTAATAAAAAAGGGGGAACACATATGGCAAAAAGAAGTCTTCCATATGCTAAAACTCATATACCTATGTGCTTCTTTTAAAAGGTAGACACAGAGGCTTCTTGAGTCTATGCTTCACCTCCAAGCACAGGTAACTCTGTCAGTTGGTAAGCCTCGGCACCCTTTGCAACCCACATCTCAGGATCCTGAACCACTCCCCCTTTTCCTGATGTATTTTATTTCCACTTTCCAGCCCCAATGATGCCCACAGTGTTACACCCAGTTGCCTTCAATATAAACACAACATGTTCAACCTCTATCATGTCCTCATGTTAGAAACAGTTTACAACAACCCCACCAATCTCTCCATTTTAGAAGCTGAGAAGCTCTACATGAACCCTTGTTTCCCTTCTCTGTTGGTTCTTCATGTAAATTTATCAAACACCACTATATTGTAGACATAGTGCCATTTAGGTGACTTGTTATTTAATCCTCACACTACAATGTACACATTATTTTCACTTAACACATGAGAAAAATTGAGGCTGAGTAATGCACTAGTTCCCACTGTTAATATGTTATGGAGTTGGGGGGAAAAGATAGCTATATATCCATAGTCTACTCAGTGATAGTATTAGAACACTGGTCTTACATGCGAATTCTGTACTTTTCCCCAGCCTACCATTGTATTCTATCTATCCCAGCCTGACCACAACCAGATTCTGAGCACAACAAAAACCTCCTCTCCAGAATGGGGGCTTTTCAGTAGAGCATACTAATTAATTCCCATTTTGCTTCAGGACATGGGGTCAGCACCTTCCATCTACCACATTAACCCCAGCTTCCCTCTTGTATCTGGCTGCATGCACTCTCTCTTCCCCGAAGAATACATCCTCACACGTATTTTATCCTTACCAGATTGTGTATTTTTTTCCATTCCTACACAGTTCATCCTACAACAGTTGACACCAATCTTACCTTGGCAGGGCCCTCTCTCATCTTCTTGATTTGATCCTTATATTTCACTAGCTCAGCATCCAACCGGGAAATTTTTTTGTCAATGGATTCTGCCCTGCTATCCACCTTGGAGGAAAAAGTCAAATGTAGTGGTAATTATCAAAATATATTTATACAGAAAGGGACAGGAGAAGCAAGGAATGCAGATGAAGAAAACAAAAGGATATAGCAAAGAGTGGAAAACAGTGGTTTACTCAAGGGTGGGGATACCAGCCAGAATCATTGAAAGGCTTTCCTAAACTCTCTCCCATGTCCCAGATTCTCATTAGCAGCTCTGCCTTGAGAAAAACAATTTGGGAATCACTGGGTTGGTTGAGATTTCCCAAGTGGGAGACTAGTCAGTTTGGGAACTCAACATAAAAGTATATGGAATGAGCCAGTGGACACAGACTACGATGAGATCTAATGCCATTTCCGAAATCTGGCTTAATTTGGAGGGATCAAGATTCAGATTTTTGTGCTACTCAGATCCAGGACTAAGGTACAAACATGATAAACCTGACGTGGGCGAGGGAAAAGGAATGAAAAATTAATTGGTAAAAGACCAGGTTAGACGGAGTGGGGTGTATGAACCAAGGTAGGGAAGGGTGTGGAATGTGAGGACCAAAGCAAGAAAAGAGAGGATGGGGCGCAGTGGGCGTCAGGAAGGGTTTTAAGTGCAGTAAGGGTTAGAGTGTCTCTGGCTTGTGGGTGGGGTCAGGAATGGCATGGAAAACAGGGATGAAAGGGGTGGGGATGGACAAGACTGAGGTTTGATGGGCCCGAACCAGGAACGGGGTGGAGTAGGATTCGGGATGTCCAGTCGGAGTTGAGTCTAGGTATACAAAGTCAAATGCCCACCGTCCCAATGCAGTCAGTCAAGCTAGGCGGCGGAGCCTTGGGTTTCGCTTTTCCGAAGAATCGGTTCATCTTGACCGGCGGCGAAGAAACCCAAACACTGGAGGGAAAACCAGAAACGGAAGCGTAGTCGCTCCGGTTTCAGTTTCCGGCCCCCCCATGCGCAAGCGCAAAGTGCTCGTTGGAGTTTCCCGATCCTTTTTCCGGGTTTTCAGCTCCTCCTTCCGGAGAAGGAGCGCGGAGCTCTGGGAGAGGCAGAAAGACTTCTGGAGGCGGGGCTTAGGGAGGGAAGGGGCGGTGCCTCCGCGGAGTGGGTGGGGTCTAGACGCGTCTGGGCGGATAGGGCGGGGCCTGGAGCGGGGTCAGTTCCGAGGGCGTGGCGAGCAGATGGGGCGGAGACGGTGAGTAGTAGGGCGGGGTTGCAAGTCTGCGAGCTCGTCAGCCACCGCTGGGCGGTGAACAAACGCGGGCCTGGCGGATCACAGCGGCCCTCGGAGACCGCGAGGGAACCAGGAGCCGCTGGGACCCCGGCTGCGCGCCTCTCGGCCAGGCTGGGAGCCGCGCCAGTCGGAGTCCCGGGCCGAGCGCGGCTCGCCTCCCTCTCAGCGTTCATCTGTCCGCAGTGCAGCCAGCGGGTATGACCGATCCACCAGGGGCGCCGCCGCCGGCGCTTGCAGGCCGCGGGTGAAGAAGAAAGTCCGTCCCCGCTCTACTCAGAGCGAGAAGGTGGCTCACAGCAGAGAGTTGACCAGGGGTAAGAAAGTGACCCGCAGCAAGAAAGTGGCCGGAACCAAGGAGGTGACCCAGTTGGAGGAGGTGACCAAGATCGAGGAGGCGACCCAGACCGAGGAGGTGACCGTGGCCGAAGAGGTGACCCAGACCGAAAGCATGGCCCAGACTGAGGAGATGGTTCAGACGGAGGATATGGAAACCCCCGGGCTCACTGTGACCGTCACCCACAGTGAGCACCAGAGTGGGCTCCAGGGGTCGGGTTGGCATCTGTAGGTTAGGCATGGGTTCTTGGTCATGTCCATGGGGATGGTTTTTGGCCTGGTGTCAGGACATCTTTCCGTGTGGCCAGTGTGTTTTGTCCCTAGGTATTTGTTAGATCCTCTATTTTGGAAGCGTAGTTGAGTGTGTGCCGCCAATAAATATAGGACTTTGTGTCAGTCTTGTATTTGGACATTTTGTGTGTAGAACTTGTATAGCGAGTTTGAACTTGGTATATGGTTTGGGCTGATCATCACTTTCTGAGTTCTTTCTGTATTGGATGTCACAGAATCGCATGTTCAGTGGGTGGGGGTGTCCAAGAGTTGCTTTCTGGATATTTGGTGAAATTAACACAGACCCAAACACTGGAAAGTACAGAAGAAAGTTGAATCCGTGAGATTTCCTTAGTACCAATTAATTAGAAAAGACCCATATACTTTGCTATCTGGAAACCATGATTTAAGTGACCTTGTGATGGCTGTCTCTTTTTTAAGGCCTCTGATTTCTGATCTGTAAAGCACAGATGGCTGGGTCAATTGGGAGAGCGGTCTAATAAGCTGGACCTACACTCCACCTACTTAGAAAGAATTGGCCACCTGTCTTTTGAAAAACGGGTTAATTCATTTGTCTTTACTAAGCACACTTAGGTGTGCCAAGTAAGAAAGATGAGGAAAACAGTCCCTTGCTGGTGAATCAGGGGAGAGACCGATGCCATAAAGACAATAGGGCAGTCAGACCACAGAATACAGGCAGCTTGTGATGGAAAATGCACTTTGAAGTCAGCTGGATTTAAGGGCAGATTCTGACTGCCAGTTGAAGGTTTCCCGAAGCATGTCTTAATTGAATTGATACCTGCTTTATGGAGTTGTCCTGGGGTTTTAAGATGCTGTGTGGAACAAGTCTTGCACAACTCATCACATATGCTTGCATGAAATGTCAGCTATCATTAAAATAGTTTTTTTTTTTTTTAATGTTAGAGGAAATAGGTCTTTGAGAAGGTCACCAGAGGAAAGCTTTGTAATAGGTAGAATAAGAGCTGTGTCTTGAATGCAAGTGTGACTCTAGGTGGGGACATAACACAGCTCAGTAGTAAAAAATGCTTCCCAGCAAGACCAAGGCACTAAATTCAATCCTCAGCTCCATATGAAAACATCAGCTTATTTATAGGTTTATGTGAAAGAGTTGTCTTCATTAAATACTGTTCTTTCTCTCCAGGCAATGAGCGGTATGAACTTCTTGTTACCCCACAGCAGGGTCATAGCGAACCAATTGTCCAAGACCTAGCTCAGCTTGTCGAAGAGGCCACAGGGGTTCCACTACCTTTTCAGAAGCTCATATTTAAGGGTTGGTATTTCTCATTCATTTTTTGAGTAGTTATGGCCAAAGGACAGATTTTATTTCATTTATTGGTTCGTTTATTTTGGATTTCTTAGACAGGGTTTCTTTATGTAGTCCTGGCTGGCCTGGAACTCTCTCTGTAGTCCTGGCTGGCCTCCTGAGTGCTGGGATTAAAGGCATGCGCCACAACCACCGGTAAGGTCAGATTTTAAATTGCTTAGTCCTACCTAATGGTGACTTTCAGCTTTCTGTGTGTGTATGTGTGCATGGGTATTTTGCCTGCACACATGTCTACCATGTTTGTGCAGTGCTTATGAAGGGCAACAGAGGATGTCAGCTTCTTTGGAGCTGGAGTTACAGATGGTTGTGAGCCACCATGTGGGTGCTGGGACCTGACCAGAGCTCTGTAAGAGTAACAAATACTCCTGACCACTGAGCAATCTCTCCAACCCCCATCTTTCAGTTTTCAAACCAGAACTGTTTTCTTTCATTCATTCAACAGATGTTGATTAAGGTCTTGCTCTATACTAGACTTCACAAACATCTGGATGAGTGTCAGGTTTGGAGTAACATGACAGAAATGTCAACTTTTTTTTTTTTTTTTTTTTTTTTTTTTTGAGGAAATATATGGACAGTCTTCTGTGGCTATGCTAGATCCTTTCCCCAATACATGTTCTACATGATGGTATTGAAGTTACTATTAAGTAAATGTTACCTTAGTTGCCTAATGTCCAGTTTCTGTTAGTATGACAGCAGAGGTACTGCTATTGCCAGTACTTGACATCACGCTGGGCAGAGTGTGTCGGATGATGCTGATTTCTGAGGCACAAGCTCTTCTCCACCCCTCCCCTATCCTCTGCCTTCCCACTCTCATAGGAACCCGTTATTTTGGAACATGATAGGGCTAGATTTATCTCATTAGGTTTCAGTCATTGTAAAGAATTTAATAATGAACATTATGGCAGGAGTATAATTTTTGGCTATAGTAAAAGGAAGCATTTTTATTTATATTTCATAGTATAAAACTTTGCCTTTTTCTTCATAGGAGAGTGATAGTTTCTTCTAACCCAAGCCATCTTGGAACTGGCCATATGATATGTACAACCATGCCCCATATCTTTTTCTCCTTAAATAACTTAATTTCTGAATTATAAAGACAGTAGAAACTTACCACTAAGCCCTATCCATGTAGTTTACATTTTCTTTTATATGTTTTATTTATTTAAAAGGTTTTTTTTTTTTATTTTACACACTAACTACAGTTCCCCCTTCTCCCCTTTCCCCGCTCTCTCCACATTTACTTTGTTATAACATTGAGTTTACCAGCATCCATTGAAGTATCCTGAGAAGAAGAGAGCTTTCATGACTACAAAACCTTTTATTACACAGAAATTATCTGTTAGGGCTAAAGAAATGCCATCTGCAGTCACATGCACATACCTGCACACTCACACAAATCCACATAATCAAAATAAAATTAAAATTAAATCTCCAGGCCATGGTGGTGCATGGCTTTAATCCTAGCACTCGGAAGACAGAGACAGTTAGATCTCTATGAGTTCCAGAACAGCCAGAGCTGTTATATAGAGAAACTGTATCTAAAACAAACAAACAAACAAGGGGGCTGGAGAGATGGCTCCTTGGTTAAGAGTACTGGCTGCTCTTCCAGAGGTCCTGAGTTCAATTTCCAGAAACCACATGGTTGCTCACAACCACCTTTAATGAGATTTGGTGCCCTCTGCTGGCCTGCAAGAGCACATGCAGACAGAAGACTGTATACATAATAAATAAGTAAATCAATCCTTAAAAAAAATAAACAAATAAATTAAGAATAAATAAATCTTAAAACAAAACCTTTAGGGGCTGGAGAGATGGCTTTGCAGTTAAGAGCATTGTCTCTTCTTCCAAAGGACCTAGGTTCAATTCCCAGCATCCACATAGAGGCTCTAAACTAGTCAATAACTCCAGTTCCAGGGGATCTCACCTCCACTGGCACCAGTCACACATATGATGCACAAGCATACATTCAGGCAGAATAGCTATACATATAAAACTAATAAAATTTAAAGCAGTATATCTACTATATGAATTATATTAATCCTTTGTTCCTGAATGTTAATTTTAATAAGTATTATATAGGCATATTTCCAGTTATTTGTTTAGGATAAATATCTAGAAATGACACTATCAGATGAAGACATTTTCAAAAAATTTTCCAATTCATCCTTTTGTTAGCAAATATAAAACTTTTTGTTTGATTGGTTTTAGTTATTCTTGAGACAAAGTTTCATTATATAGTTTGTGCTGGCCTGGATCTTGGTCTACAGCCCATTCTAGACTTGAACTCACAGAAATCTGCTTGCCTTTGCCCCCTGATTGCTCAGCGTAGGTGTGCACCTCAAAGCCCAGTTTTCTGGGTTCTCTAGAAGAGTAGCCACTGCTCTTAATCATTGAACCATCTCTCAGGACCCCCTTTTAGATTAGATTTGTGCTTCTGCTTTTAAATAATATCTTACTCGTTTTATATGAAATTTTCTTCTATTTTTTTTTTTTTCTTTTCTTTTTTTCTTTTTTTGGGTTTTTCGAGACAGGGTTTCTCTTTGTAACCTTGGCTGTCTTGGAACTCACTCTGTAGACTAGGCTGGCCTCAAACTCACAGAGTTCCACTTGCCTCTGCCTCCCAAGTGCTGGGATTAAAGGCGTGCACCACCACTGCCCAACTAGTTTCATGAAATTTTCAGACAATGTGTTTGATCACATTCATTTCCTTGCTTGCATCCCTTGCCCCCTTTTGAGTCCAGTTTGTGTTGCCCAAATACTCTTGGATAGGGGCCTGCCCTAGAG